GTCATCCTTCCTCTCTATGGTCCAGCTCTCACTTCCGTACATCGCTACTGAAAAAAACATAGCTTTGACTATGCAGACCTTTGTCGGCATGGTGATGTCTCTGTTTTTTTAAGATGCTGTCTAGGTTTGTCATTGCTTTCCTCCCAAGAAGCAGGTGTCTTTTGATTTCATGGCTGCTGTCACTATCTACAGTGATCATGGAATCCAAGAAAGTGAAATTTGTCACTGCCTCCATATTTGCCAGGAGGCGATGGGACCAGTGGCCATGATCTTAGTTTTTTTGATGTTGAGCTTCAGACCCCCAAATGTACCGGTATATTTTTCTCTTGACCTCTGACTGAGGTATATGGTATTGCTGCCTTCCCTCAATTTCCTCATTTGGCAGTTTCATTCTGACCTTTTCCCAGGTCCAGGGATCTTCCATCTCTAACCATCCCCATCCTATAGGAATCTCTTCTTCCTTCTCACTCTTCTTTTTCTTTTTCTCTTCTTCCTCCATGCTACCCCTGTCTCCCAGTCTAACTCTCTTTCCTTCCTCTATTCCACTTCAGTCATCAGATACCCCTCTACTATTGGCTCCTCCCCCTTTTCCTTCGCCTTTTTCTCCTTTCCCGCTCTTTTCCTCCTGTATTTCTAATTGGGCCATGACTGGCTACATGATGTAAACGGTCTCGTATCCTTCCGCAGTGAATGTTTGAGGAGATTTCTTTTCTTTTCCTCCTGTACTTCTAATTGGGCCATGACTGGCAACATGGTGTAAACGGTCTCGTATCCCTCCACAGTGGATGTTTGAGGAGACGACTCACTCTCTTCAAATAAGCCTCACAAGCTTTCCTGTTCCTCAACAAGGCCAAGAATTTTGTTTGATGACCTGAGTGCTACCATTTATACCAGTGATTGGCCACCAATCAGTCCAAATACAGTACTTCTAATTGGGCCATGACTGGCAACATGGTGTAAACGGTCTCGTATCCCTCCACAGTGGATGTTTGAGGAGACGACTCACTCTCTTCAAATAAGCCTCACAAGCTTTCCTGTTCCTCAACAAGGCCAAGAATTTTGTTTGATGACCTGAGTGCTACCATTTATACCAGTGATTGGCCACCAATCAGTCCAAATACAGCATTTATTATTAGAGGGACAGGAATTACATATAGGCTGCTAAATTGCTTTCGGAACAATTCCAATATAGGGATTCTTACAACTCATAATGCTGAAGTATTTGCCAGTAAAATAATTTGAAATACATACCTGGACTGATATTTTAACAGTAATTTGTTTTTCCAAAGAAATCCCATCACTGGCAGGTCCCTTAAATTTAAAATATTTTTGTGTGAAGCTTCGCCAAATCCTAAATACATCAGTTAACCCGCCCAGAGACCTCTGGGTAGAGTGGGTGGCATATAAATTCAATAAATAAATAAATAAAATAAGTTATATCTGAGAAAGAGTGCCTCCTGGTTCTTTTTTCAATTCAAGAAAAGGTTTTATTTTACAAATAACAGAATAAAAATATTTATAGTAAATGAAATACAGTATACGTTATCTGGACTCTGTAAGAACAGCTACATAAATCACATAAATTTTCTCTGAACCTCTCATTCCCCTTCTTTCTCTCCTACTGTCCACTGTAACTGATCTCTCTCTTCCTTCACCAGCATTTAATCCCATCTCCCTGATAATTGGCTACACTCACTGCATTCTTTTTGCTCCCACTCCATCATTCCTATGTACTGGACGGCTTATGCCTAGAATGCCAAACCAAAGGCTACTTTATGCTTGATAGAGATGGCTCGCACTGTTTTATCAAATCATTGTGAAAAGCAATCTCATATACATCCCTAATGAGTTCAATAAGAATTATTTCCAGGGAGATGTTTATAGGATTGTATCCATAAAATGATTTTATTAAATCGCAGGGCCCTTCCTTCAGTTTTCCCAGGGGCTGAAATAGATTAATTCCTCTTGACAGGATTGATTTCGTCACTGCTGCTTTCGTTTAAGTATCTGGCTGTGGAGCTGGAGGCCGGGAGTTCAGTTTCTAACTGTGCTTCCTTGACAGGGGCAGGACTTGATGATGCATATGGCCCCTTTACCTCTGCAGATCTAAGATTATTATTATTATACTCATTTATATCACAAACCAACAAAGTTAGCCTTTGCCAGCTGATGGAACTTTACCATTGTTCAACAATATCACTAAAAACACAGGGCTATATATAGAGGGAAGAGCTATAAAAAGCTAGTACTGTACTGTATAGACAGCAGGCATTTTGAAGGAAGGTTCCTATGGTCCATCTTATTTCAGTAAGACTTTGAGAAGGGTTGCTATGGGAAATAGTATACATTACCTTCCCTGCAATGCCCTCTTCTCACTCTCTCCCCTAGTATTTTGTAACTTTTTGCCTGTTAGGGGGGCAAATTATAAGGCATGAAGGCCATATACCAGGGCCAAGGAAGGAGTAACATCAACATCTCAATGAGATAAGGGGAACAGAGAAAATATCTCTTCAGACATTCAGGCAACATCCATGCACATCCTGGGTACATTCTGACCTTAGGTCAAGTGAACATGGGGGCACAATATGGATATTCACGTATAGCCAATAGCTGCATTTTATTGGCATCTTTTATCATCTTCTATCCAATAAGAAACGGTATCCAAAGTTGGGGTTCAGGGAACCAATAAGGAATGCTTGCTTTATTGCTCTTTGTGTAGAAATGTTATAAAATGTCTATTCTCTTGTTGCCCGGGGCCAGTCCTCTGCTTTTAAGACGAAAGGTCCAGCTGTACTTTTCAATAAAGATTGGCTTTGTATCAGCTGTTGATACGTCTTAGCCTGCCTGTCTTTGCTGGAGATCCAAACTTAAATTTGAGGGTAACATACCTACTCTTATGACCATTTTGCAATTTTTTTCTCTTATACCTCAAATACAAAAATGTCCCCTGGGAAAATTTGTAGTGATTGTCTACATTCTTATCCTGATTTTATTGGGGTGTAGTTCGCATTCTAGCAAATAACTAGAGTGGCACAGTGTGATTACAATTACCTCTATATAAGGATCATGGAGGCAAAAATATTGGATGTAAGTACATTATCCTTATTTAGTCAATGTAATCCTGTGATGCCAAACATAATTGAAAAGCAAGAGATGCAGGTCCGATTAGAAAAAGAATAAATGTAGTTTTTCTACTTGTGGACTTGGCCTACACACCAGTGAGAACGGCTCCAGTGAGAACACAGGGAAATGGAATTTGACTTCTAAGCAATTCTAGCTGTGGGCAGCATTTATTACACTCTTGCAATCACATCTTTTGATCTGCTAGCGGGAAACTGCTACACAAGTGTGTTTATGTGTTTGTGCATATACACTAGTAAGACTTTCAAGGTGTTCCAGAACATCTCCTCTTTTGCACCCCTCCCTGTGGATGTCCAATAGGTGCATTCTGGATGTAACAGTAGGCTGTAACTACTCTTTTAATTGGAATTAGGACAGAGCCTTGTGGTGCTTATGATTACACAAACATAAGAGTAGGGTGTACCTTTATTTGGCCACTAAAAAATTCAAATAAATTGCAAGCTTTCAATTGCTAATTACTGTATTGTGTACCCCTCTTGGGCAAAAACGTTGCTTGCTTCAGGAACACGAAGTTTCTTTTTGACTGTGGGACTGAGGGAAACAGAGTACTGCAATTAGCGAACTTGTTGTCTGGTGATTAGGACAGGAAATTTGAACCACGTTTGCAACCTGCGTCTAAACTTACCTCACCTAGGCAGACCTGGCATAGACCTCTGCTGTGAATTTTTGGGAATCTTCTCCACAGTTTTTCTGTGCTATCCATGAAGTGGTGGTGCCCAGCCTTTTGAAGGGAATTTCCTCCACAAAAGCTTGCAATTTGTTTGATTTTTTTTAGCGGTCCAATAAAGGTATCACCCTATGCTTACATTGGTGTCCTTTTGTTGGCTATCTCTCACTGTCCTGTTGTCCTTCCTATAGAGTTAAAGATTCACCACCTCCTATCTCCTCCTTTCAGTGCTTTCTAACTCCCATGCAACCATTTCTTTTCAGAGAGTGGGCTAAAGCCCTCTTTAAGCCATATGATCAGGCCTTGAGACGTGGACTTCAATCGAGTTTAGGATAGGCTTTTCTAGCAAATGTTTTTTTTCTAAATAAACCTAATGACTTTTGTTTAAGTTTAACCTTCTACCTAGTTTATTGTCCAGAGAATAGAACAATGTGAGTTTAAAAACTCACAGGGACACTTGTTGTTTGCTCTGCTAAGAGATCTCCTAACAGAATTTCCATCTTTTCTTACAGAATGCCACTTCCCCCTAACCATTTTACTTAAGAAATGAGAGACGGATGCTTAGATATATTTACCAATCCAAACCCCTGCTTTCCTTGCTTGGCCAAGGAAACTTACTGGGAGACTGGCCACCCTAGTCCCCCTCTGTCACATCATAAGGCCTCAGCCAGCGTCATTAAAAGGATCCACTTCTGTGTTTGGTCCTGAATTTCCAGGAATGGGATAGTGCTGAACTGATAACTTTTAAGACTGATCTGCAAACACCAGCTGTTGGAATAACAGGGTAACCTTAGATCTGCTGGACCCAAATATCCCAAAGTGCTACTGGTGACAGGATCAAGTCCATTAACTTTGCCAACCTGGACTGGCATTGTTAATCCCCCTTTCCATGGAGCTAATGGGGGAGATACCCCCTTCTACTTTCACTGGACTGAGCCAGCAGGGATTTGAAAGTGGCAGATCATTCCCTACTTCATCCCTCCACAACATAGATTTGCTCTGTTATTCACTTAAACATTAAAAAATTTGCAAAATCACAAGTATTAAACTGACCATTGAGAGTGTCTTTGCACAGAAATTGCACTACATGAATATCTGTATGCAATAGCATGCAAAAGTGCTCTTTGCACAGAAATTGCACTACATGAATAACATTATATCTGTATGCAATAGCATGCAAAAGTGATTACCATGACTTTAAAATTACTAGAGGTAGAAGAAAGAAAGACATATGGTGAGGCTTGATCCGGATGGGTAGATAGTTATCATGAAAAGAATTAATTCTCTCACATGCTAATTGTGTTATGTTTTTGACCACATATTTACCACATGGCTCCTACTGTGGACATGCTGTAAAGCTATGTGCTTATTCTTGCAACCGGCTCTTTCCTTATCAACCCATACCACTAACCAGGTTGCCTTTCTCCTCCATTTTGAAAAAAAGCTTTAAAGGGCATGTTTTATGAGTCTTTGGCCCTCAGAATGCAGTCTATAGATGGAGGTAAACTAATAAAGAGATAGTTTCTCTGGAATAACACGACACGTGGTTATCTTTCATAAAGTAAAATGTTACAGCCCTCTCCACTATTTAATTTTCTAATGTCCACTAATACACCTGTATGATTAACCCATCAGCAGATAAGACTGGTTTGAAATATGGGTGGCAGATGTAGACTGGTTTGCAGAATCTTCCCATTTTCTTTCCTCTTTTAATTCAGGGCCCAAATGTGGAGGATCAAACAAGGTGAAGGAACTTAGCCGTCTCTTATGCTCTGGAGTTATGTGTTGATCATGTTCCAAGGGCAGTGGGAGGGTGTCACACCCATTACCGGTGCTATCAAAATACTCATTCCCATTATGGCTCCCTTGAGGATCATTGGGGCTCAGCACCATGTAGTGTTGGTGGGAAGAAGGCTCGCTGTCCCATTCTGCCTGCTCCAGTGGGATAGTATCTAGAAGGCTCTCATAAATTGGTGTTTCCTGAGGCATTTCAGGCAACACTTCTAGCAGGCAAGTTAAAGGCGTGTCCTCCAAACTTTTGTCACAGAATAAAGCATTCACCTAGAAGATAGAAAAGAGCCATATCAGAAACACAAAATGGCAATCTACACATTGTGTGTGGTGCACGCATGTGTGCACACGCGCACACACAGACACTTTTTCTCCCTCACCCTGCTTGTAGAAAATATTACTCTCCCACTCAGATCCTGCACTAAATTAATATTTGTAGGGAAGAAAGAGGCCTCACATTCTCCTGTTCCTGCTGGTGTTGCTTGCTGTTGTCTTCAAGGAATGCATCCAGAATATGGTGAAGGTCTGGGATGGGCGGCCAGAGCTTTTGTTTCACACTGCTTAACAATGAAAACATGGACTGTGACTTTCAAAGTGTAACCATGGTTCTCTGCAGTACAGTATTTGGCATGGATCCTACTAACAAGTAGACATCTGCCTTTACCACAGATCCTCCATCTTCCCCTCCCAAATGCTAGAGGTTTATTTATTTATTTATTTATTTGCTTACTTGCACTAAGAGTTCAGTTACCTGAAAGTGGAAAGGCAGGTACAGCTCAACCCTAACACAAGCACTGCACAGAGCAGCAGTGCAATTGCCATGTTCATGATGGTTGAATCTAGGGGGAAAAGACACAAGGTGAGGTTATGGTTCAAATTAAACCAGTTTTTTTCTGAATGACTATCTGGGGCTCAACATTCTTTGTGCCTCATCAGCCACATCTGACATCTCTATCAACCCACTCCTACATTCCTGCTCTCATACTGATGGCCTAGCTTACCTGTGTCAGGTGGGATTTCAACACATACACATTCTGACCAGGCACTCCAGTGCCCTCGGAACTTCTGCCCATCTGGCTGAGTACGCAGCTGAAGACAGTAGTGATCCCCAGTGGCCAGATGGATTTCACTGTTGTTTGAATACTGCACCTGCAGAGCCTGCCCAGAGAATGACCCATCATAAGATTCCTGGGATACATATCCAAAAACTTAAAGCAGAGCGCTGGGCACCAATTGCTGAAATCCAGTAGGAAGTTACAACTAGAGTAGGCCCATTGAATTGGTAGGTGTTTGATGAGCCAACTCCTCTGGAAGTTTCATTGATTCAATGGACCTCTTGTAGTGGAGACGTCTTACTGGATTTCAAGCATTGTGCTATTTGATCAGAGAGTTTCAAGTCTTCTCATTTGTACGTAGCAATGTCTCAGCTTATTTACCTGGGCCCAGCAGAAACATGTAGCACCTCTCCACTTTGCTTTGAAGAAATGGAGGGTCCTTTAGCTTTTTAAAAGTCTCTTTATTTACCGGACACTCTTTACATTCCTGGCTGCTAAAATCCTTCAATAACCAGAAAAAGGCAGTACGGCATGACATGTCACATGTCCCTACTAGCAGTCTCTAGATTAGAGGACTGGAGACATGCCAAAATAATACTAGTTTTTAAACAGGAAATCTAAGAAAAATCCAGGAACAAACAAGATACTTTATTTAACAATTTATTTCTCCCACGTTAATTGGCAGAAAGTGTTATTAAGAAAAAACTTGCAAACATGCAGAAGTGCAAGCCATGCTGAAAAAGTATACACAGGCCTCCAAAGTCCTGTCCCATTAACTTTTTTTTTAATTCTTTGAAACTGCTGAGAAGGTGGCATTAGTAGTTCCTGACAGGGACCCAAAAATGTGCGGATCAGGGTTGGGCTGGTTTGTCATGGTATGTATGATACGTGGTCACTGGGAAAAGGAACAAACCAGCCCATCTCCAATCCAGACAAAATTGTGGGACAAAGCCTTTCAGACTTCACTTGAAGGATGCAACCCCTAGCCATGTTGTTCTTCAGTATTTATATTGAGACTGTTCACGGATGGCCTAAAGTTGAGGGTGAGGTGATCATGTTCGCTGGTATCACCACATTATTTATGATGTTGAGAACAAAAGCAGACTGTGGAGAGATTCAATAGGATCTCTCAGAACTTGACATGGCAAAGGATGCTAAATGTAAGCAAGTGTAAAGTCATGCATATGGGCACTCCTCAAAACTCCAGTTTCAGATATACTCTGATGTAATCTGAGCTGGTAGCAACTGATCAAGAAAGGGACCTTGGATTTGGTAGATAATGAAAATGTGTTTCCACTATGTGGCTGTAAAAAAGAGAGGTTGAGAAAGAGAAAGGTTGAAAGGGGGGGGGACTAAAATAAATCTGCTGATTCTCATACTACTATTAGGCAATCACATCTGGAAAACTGTGCATAGTACTGTTTCTTGCACCTGGAAAAGGACATTGTGGAACTAGGAAGTTGTTCAGGAATGGGCAATCAATATGAGCAGAGTGGAGTGGAGCAACTCCCCAATGAGGAGAAATGACGTGTCAGGAAAGACGTGATAGAGTGTCATGAAGTTGTACATGGTACAGAGGAAGGGCATATTGAGGAACGTTCTGTTATGTCTCACCGTATTAGAACCTGGGTTTGCCTATTGAAACGGAGGAGTGGGAAGCTCAGGACAAAAGAAAGGAAATATTTCTTTATACTTGACAGAGTCAAACTGGCAATTTGCTACTACAAGAAGGGTCGCCAGCTTAAATGTTTTTGAAAAGGGGATTGGACAAATTCGTGGAAGGGAAGGCTGTCCATAGCCACCAGTCAGGATGGATGTATATTCTCTTCAGTAACAGAAGAGTGTCAAGAACCTCCCCAGCCCAAGCAATTAGAGCTGAGTCTGGGAATGGCTTCTGTGCCAGATCTTTGCCTTCTTAGGATATTTAATTACTGTATTGGAATAAGCTAGTTCAAATGAGTAATGCCAGGCTTCCCAAGCTATATTTAAATGAACAGGTGATTAAAACACCAGAAAAAACTTGGTCCTTTAATTTTTCAGAATTGCTTTCAAATTATAGCTTAGTGTTGAGGCTGTAAGTGTGTTCCATTTCAGTATGAGAAATGCTTTCAGACAATGAGTATTAGATATCAGAACACAGTTGCACAGAGCTGACCTGTCATCTGCAAGACTTATAAAATGGCTGGCAAGGACTAAAACCCACATTCAGATGGAAAAAATGCTTGCTTTCCCATTAAAAAACAATTTACATGCAGCCTTTACTAGATAGACTGCATATGTGGAGCAGCCACAGTAGAAGACCTAGCCTACAATTTACTACATTGCCAGCTATATTCCAGCATCAGAGAACCTTATATAGCCTCTTTCGTCCTCAGCATGAAAGACTGGGAAGTTGAGAACAAACTGAACTTGTGACACAGAGAGTTGCCCTCTTTGCAGTTGAAGTGGCTACTCTCAGGGGGAAAAAAAGAAGAAAGCTTGACCATCTAAAGGAGTTATGGCAGGCTAGCCCAGTGATTTAAGTGTCTAGAGCCAGAGATTGGGAGTTCAATTCCCACCGTGCCGCCAGCGAGCAGAGGCAGCCTGTGTGGCCTTGGGCAGGTTGCACAGTCCCAGGATGCCCCGAGAAGGGAATGGTAAACTACTTCTGTGTATTCACTACCTGGAAAACCCCGAAAAGGGTCACCAGAGGTCGGAATTGACTTGACATCACATGATGATGATTAATGTTTCTATTCCTAGTGAGGGTCTGTTGAAATAAAAGATGTATATTGTTTTATGATTAATCAACTAGCTCAACTGTACACATAATGTTTGTATTGTATCATTTTAACCCTTGGTGAGTTGAACATTTGCTGTTATTTTTGTTATTAGTTTGTGTTTATATTCGAAATTGAAATGGTCTTATTCAATAAAGTATCTATGAATTTCTCTTCAGTAACAGTGTCTCTGCATATCAGATGGTGGGGAACACAAAATCAAGGTGCAGTTACATTCATATTCTGCTCCCCAAAGGCAATCAGCTGGCCAGTTTGTGAATAAATGTTAGACTAGACAGGCCTTAGGTCTGATCCAGTAGAGCTCATATGTTAATTTAAACCTCCCTGTTCCACTTTATCTATATCCTTTGCAGAAGGTGCAACACATGCAAGGGGAAACAGTACTGCAGAAAATATAACTATATTTCTTGTTACTTGGAAACTATAGTTGTCCTGATGCAAGATAAAATCGTATTAACATGTTCATTTATGTCATTAATAAGTTCACTGGGAAAGCTTATATTTTACTGCTCTTATATTGCTGGTAGTGGTCTGAAGTGCCAAATTTAAGAAGTAGTAGCAGGTACAAAATGTATCCTAATGCTTTTATGCATCCTTTCCACACCATGTTTTACCTTCCATTTCAAGGTGTCTTTTGCTCCATATTGTATTTGATACACCATATGTTCAGCTAACTCTTCCAATGGTGGGTTCCACTCCATCTTTAGAATCCCTCTGTCTACCGTAGCTTGCAAAATCTTTGGTGGAGCAGTAAGCACTATAAGCATACATACACACACATACACACAGAAAGACAGAGATTGGATTAGTCAAGTCAGGCCAGCTTCCTATGGCATTTGGGGCTCAGCGTGGTCTAAATACATGACTTATTTATTATTTGTTTATTATTTGAATTTATATCCAGCACCATCTGGCAACCAGGCCACTCTGGGTGGCTAACAACAATATAAGGAAAAGAATTAAAACACAATAAAAATAAATTGAATTATATTTGAAGATAAATTAATAAATAACAAATAGGGAAATTAAAACAGATGGCAGCAAAAGTGGTAAAAAGGGTGATGGAGAGGATGGCAAAAAGAATGGTAAAAAGGGAGGGCAAGATCCTAGTGCTCCGGGAAAGCCTGGTGGAAGAGCCAGGTCTTCAATTCTCTTTTGAATCCATCCAGAGAGGGTGTCAGGCGGATCTCGGTAGGCAGGCTGTTCCATAGGTGGGGGGCAACCACCAAGAAGGCCCGGTTTCTTGTTCTTTCCCTCTGGGCCTCCTTCGGGGTCAAGGCCCTCAACCTCACCCTGCCTGTGAAGAATGAGTATTACGGACAGATCTGGCTGGGAGCAGGTGTTCTGATAGGTACCTAGGTCCTAGACCATTTAGGGCTTTGAATGTTATCATCAGAACCTTGAAGTCGATGCGGAAAAGAACCAGTAACCAACGAAGGACGGCAAGAGTGGGGGAGATGTGCTGGAATTTCTTCACCCCAGTTATTAATCTGGCCGCCGAAGTCTGGACCAGTTGAAGTCTCCGCATCAGCCTACAACACTACAAACCCAATAATGCTGCCAAACTCTCCAGAGACAGTTTGATGGTACAGAAATGCAGACTATTACACAAATTTGATTCATTAATGTTTATCATTGCAGTTCAATTTTTTTAAATGCTATATTAAAATTTCTAGCACTATTTTAAAACCAGGCACTTTATTCACAAGTGGTAGCTTAAATAAGAAATGTTAGGAAAAAAAAACAGTTTCCCATAAAGGTTCAGCAACAAGTCAGAACATGTAAAAACATGATTCATACATGCAGTTTTTCAGGGAGGAAAAGCAGAATGAAAAATTTGCTACTTTATATAATACAAACTTCTGTTCTTACCAAAACAGTATGGTTTACACATATTGGAGATTCTTACCCATGTGGTGCAGTTGAAATGGTTCTTCAAAGTAGTTTTGTTTTTGCTGACCTTGGGTAACAGTCACCAGAACAGATATGTAGCTAGTGTTCTTAGGACAGAAGGTGCAGACATAAGAATAGGAGTTATAGTCTGGCCTGCTTCTCTCTTCTTTCTCCTCACATTTATGCCAGACATGTGGTCTGGGAATTAAAAATCAGGATGAAGTCAGATATATCGAGTTTGCTTATTGAATGATTAGAAGCAGTCTTCTTTAATGAGACTCGAACTGATCACTGCAACCCAAATTGTACATTATAAACAACCCATCAACAGAAGAGGGGATCCCTTAAGTATTGAATGTGTGTGGTGCCTTTCTCACTTTCCATAATTTGCAAATTAGTTTGTTCTATTTTGTGATAGGTCTTTGGGACATAGTAAGAGCATTCAGATCTGATTTCTCAGATGTGAAAGGTAACCTCAGTTATGCCTCCAAGGGTTCCGTTCTGAACAGTAAGAGGTAAATCCCATCTTGATGACAGACCATTTTCAAGAATAACAATCAATGTCAACACTGACAGTCACGTGGTATTTTGTGAATCTTGGCAATAGGGATATAGTTGCTAAAAAGACTTATTCCCTCAGCCAAGACACAGACATTATGGCTTGAAGGCATGCAATACACTCTCCTCAGCCAGGGCAGTGTAAGACCGTAGTTACAGAAGTCAGCCTAAGCATTAAGAACAAGGGTAGGCAAAGAGTAATACTCCAAAAGTCCTTGGAGTACAACTTCTATCAGCCCTATCCAGCAGAGACAGTGGTAAGGAAAGCTAGGAGTTGCTGTCCAACGAAATCTGGAGGGCTGCACTTTGCCTGCTCCAATTTCGATTATTTGCCAATGATCTGGAAATTTAATTCCGTTCTTCAAAACAACAACAACAAAACACTGGTTTATGTATGAGGAATATTGTGCTTCTGTACTCATGATTCAAAAAGCCAGGAAATGGCTCAATATTGCTGCACGATATTGTGCCCACATTGCCAGAAGAATGAAATATGACAAGCCTTACATAGCAAAGGGCAGCTTGAATGTTGACAACACCAATGGCAGCAATCAAGATGGTATATAGCCGTGGTACCCAACCTTTTCTGAGTTGCAGACCGGTTGGGGGGTGGGGTGTGCTCGCAGAGGGGTTAAGCACATGTGTGCACATGAGCAGAGGGGTGGACCGCTCTTGCACGCATGCACGGAAGGGCGGAATGCACTCACGCACATGTGTGGAGGGGAGGGGTGTGCATGTGCGGAGGGGCACCCATGCGTGCAGGTGGTGGGCCGTGCATGCGGGTGGGGTGGTTGGGTGGAGTGCATGCAGGGGGGCGGGAGATCTGTCTCTGCGGCCCAGTCCTGCCATGGCCACGGAACGGCACCAGGCCACGGAACGGGGGCTGGGGACCCCTGGTATATAGGATACCCTCTGCTCCTTGCTACCATTCACAAAGTGACATAACACTAGGGAAAATCCTAGAAGTTGAATCCTCTTTTCATCAGTTAACCACTTCTCACCCAAACACAAAGCAATTGCCAGGGCTGTTTTTCAACAAGTGTGAATGGAAGTGAGCAGCACAAAAGAAGAAAGATTGAACATGAGATAGGTTGACTTAATAAAGGATGTCACCGCTGTTAGTTTGTAAGATCTGAGCAGAACTTCATAGAAATGACAATATTGAGAGGAAGGACGTACAGTAGGAAGAGAAAACAACCTAATACGAGTTGTTCTTGGTTCGCAAGACGTGAGCAGAACTGTTAATGATAAGATATTTTGGAAATCAGTAACTCATGTAGTCACCACACACACACAAAAATGACTTGATGACACATAGCATATTTGGAATTTTTCCCTTAATGATTTCTTAATACCAAACAATGGTATAATGACAAGATGGGTGAAATAAGCATGCAAGCTCTGCTAACACCGAGGCAGACGATCGCCAGCCACAAAGCAAAAAACCAATAATTTTACAGCTGAAGGAAGTGAGCTTCCAAATATTTATTCTCCATTAAAAAAAACATTTTAAACATATTTTTATACCAGAAATAGAAACTCTTTGAAATGTCTGTTTAGCCAGGATGAAAGTTTAGTGTTTTCTTTCTCAGAGTCATTTAATTTGGTCCTGACTAGCAGGGTCAAAAGTTTCATCCTGGTGATACAGTGTTTATATTTATGTTTACAATGTTGGCATGTATAAGAAACTCAGAAACTCAAGACTTTTTCTCTGCTTGAAATGGCTATTTTCAAAATCAGTATTAGAGTCATGGATGCCCGGATTCCTTCCAAATAAAAAAAGGGGAGCTAGGACTAACCACTCTCTGTCAAGATGAGCAAATTTGGTCTTTTCAATGTATTTGATTTGTTTAAATCTGCTGCTGTTGCCTGCACAGTGGGCCGGTTTTACTATTTTAAAAAAATCATAACTTGCAAACCATATGCCCAAACATCCCCAGATTTGGCAGAGAATAAGAGCAGACTATCTGCTACGTCTTTGCTCAGTTTGGTGTTGATCTGAGGTCTAGTTTCAAAGTCATAATTTCTTGTTTGGAGTCCTCCTAGTTTTTAAATTGCTTTATTGAATGCTGAATTGGGCGGTAGCACAATATCTGTTGCTGAATACTTGTGCAGCAATAATGACAAGCTCATGATAGTCAGGAGATTTTTGAAGACCTTATCAAAGACTCAAGAAGTAAGAGGCAGCTTGAGGAGATCAGAAAGATCAGAATCTTCCATTTCTAATACAGGAAGAGAACACTGTGGGGGTGGTAATGAACTAGGACTTGAGGAGATCCAGGTAGCTTCAAATTCCTACTAAGGCTCACTGGCTTCAGCCAATTGTTACATTTCAGCCTACTTCATGTCACAGTTCTGTGATGATAAAAAAAAATGTGGGTGGGAACAACATATGCCACCTTGTGCTCTTTTTTTGGAGAAAATGTGAGATAATATTTTTAAAATAAAAATATTAATGGGCAGATATACAATATTTGTATCTACCAAGGTTTCATCTCTACAGATACTTCCTGAATGGTAATTCAAAGTCTTGCCTCATGTGTGCAGGAGAATATTGGGAGAATAAGAGGGCACTTTTAGGGGTTTGCTATTGGAGCAAAGATCAGAAATATCAGAGCACAGCAAACCAGGATTCTTTGTGTGCATACAATTCACCCACCACTAATCCCTTCTGTTACCTTGTACTGATGCTGTTGTATTCCGCCCAGTACAAACAGCTAGAGTAGGTGTCAGGTTCCATGGTCATCCACTCCCACTGGCAATGCAGTTGTCGCAGGTCAGGAGTGAAGCAATGCAAGTTGATTTCCCCTGGCCAGAAGAGAAAAGTGCAGTTATGAGAGCAAGGCAGCAGCTTCTTGAACCCAGCACTGGACCATATAGGCCAAACCTAATTTTTTTAATATATTCTGTCTTCCCAGACTCTCACAAGGGAACTTTGGCACCCTCACACTTAAGACCTGTGGCACAGTGGTTAAACTGCAGTACTGCAGTTAAGCCTCTGCGCACAACCTGAGTTCAATCCTGACTGGTTCAGGTGAGTGGCTTAAGGTTGACTCAGCCTTCCATCCTTCTGAGATTGGTAAAATGAGCACCGAGCTTGCCGGGGGTCAAAGTATTCCTTGGTTAATTATGTTGTAAACTGTTCTAACAATATGAGGTGGTATATATGTGGAAGGAAGGAAGGAAGGAAGTAAGTCTCATTCAATTCCATATGCAGAAGCCAGTTGAACTGGCAGTTCAATTTAAATTCAACAATGGTGGTGGGAGAGTACTTTCAGCTAGTCTTGACTTGGGTTCATTAGGCTAATTTGAAAACTCACAAAAAGTTATGTTTCAGAAGTCACCAGCTGAGGAGTCTAGGAGAAACAGCCAGAAGGCTGTTGTGTCTCCCTGCCCTGCCAGCACCTGCTGTCTGAGGTAACTGCCTTCTGCCTCATGGAAAACTCAGGTCTGCAGCTTCCTTCCCTAAAATATGGACTGTTCTTTTTGGCCTGCTCCTTATGGCTCAGATATCTGTTCCTTCCAAGGCCAGGATCAGTTCCTCCTGTCCTGATAAAGATCAAATGCTTCGCTTCCCATACTGAAAGAGAAGGTGATTTCCAATTTTTCAAATGTTAATTCATGTTGGCGTATATAAACAGAAGCTTACGATGAATTTTTAATGAAATGGATGGCAAATCATTAATGTTTTTAGGTAAATGGGAGGCTTAGCAGTCTACCACCCAAATAGCCAGAGGGGCCCATATGTTTTCTTACAGGAGTTTTAGGCCCTGGAAATTTTTTTAATGGCTTTGCATTTTCTTTTAAGTTAAAAAAAATCTTCACTCAGTTTTATAAATGGGTTAGAGAGGAAAATGTAGATTATGAGAACAGATAACATCAGAAGTTGGATCTAGGTTACTTTCAGATTGCATAGTTAATTAATAATGCATTCCACTTATCACTTTGTTTTTGTTCAGATGAAATGTATGTCCCATTAACCTGAATTAATAGCTACTCTGATGCCAACATTAAATGTATTCACAAGAGGAAATAGTACAGCCTGTTCTCCATGCCCAAGCAACCAGCTGCTATAAAGCTGGGAGCTGAATTTTGCTGTGGAGAAGAACTAACATATTGTTTCACTAGGGCTTGGAACAGGGGCTTGCCTTACAGAGTACAAGTTAGGAAAAGGGCTACAATACATCTGGGACGACTGGAAGATTCTAGAAGTCGCACTCCAGCTATAAAATAGGGAGCAGTTTTGTAGCATGTGTCCTTCCAGATACAAAAATGCTCTAACACTGCAAAAGCCCAAGAAATCACTGAATTACGTATTAGGATATACAGTATTATTAAGCAATACTGTAGTTCCAGTTCATTTTTTAAAAGATCATGTTGTCTTACATAATTTCATTGTACCCATCATCCTTCCCAGACCAGTTCTAAGCATTTGTATTGTAGTATTTGCCCACAGTACCCTTTTAAGCAGCATTATGTAGAAAGGGCCCAATGTGCAGTGAAAATACACATTTTGTGAAAATACACACGGTTATCAAATGAAGTATTTTATATATTTTTCCCATGTGTTTTCTTACCTTGAAAGGCCTTCTGTGTAGGGAGAATTTAATTTGAGAAGGGCCTCACAAAGTCAGACCTGTAACTGTTTTGCTCTTTCTACCCTTTTTACATGCAACTGTAGTGTTGTGCGAACACAACTGCACAAATCACAACAGCTGCATGTGGCGCACTCCACAAGCATGATGTTGCTGTTCCATTTTGTATGTAAGAACAAAATAGGTCCACTGAGATCAGCTGTCAAATCTGTCAGACACACTCACCTGGGAGATGGGGCATCTCTGCTAACACTGCTGGAGACCAGGGTCCCCAGAACCCATTAAGAGAGATGCCATCAGGCTTGGTGCGGATTTGGATGCGATACCACTGCCCAGGAAGCAGATCATGGAGACATGTGTGGCTGTTCTTCACTTCTATCTATAGGAGAAAGAGACAGGCAAACATAAAGATTTGGGGAAGCAATTTTTCTCAATAGCCCACTGGTTCTTGATAGCAAAAGAATCTCCCAAGTTTTCTGTTGAGAGAGAAAGAGACAGCATGCAAAAGCCGTCCATCCCATCAAAAGCCATACCCTGGATGGTGGCTCGGTGGAAGCTTCAACACCATAAAGAACCTCATAGATCAAGACATCCACATGGTAGATAGGTGGGGGAACCCAGGTCACACACAATTGTCTGGCCAACCCAGGCCACTCAACTGATACATTCACTGGTGGAGCAATGAGACCTAAAAAGAAAAACATATATATTTTTAAATACACAGAAAACCCGAAGCTCTTGTTCATTTCTGTTTACCAGCCATGGGGAGAAGACTGCACTGGGATGTATCCTTTGTGACCCTGTGAACTGATTACAAAGGATTTTGATGGCTAGGTTTCACAAACTGCTGGAGCTGAAATCTGAGAGATAAGGTGTGGTAATGAACATGTGCTTCCTTGTTGACTGATGGCACAGCACTGTTGTCAGAAGCATTCCCCAATTATGGTCTTCACATCTAAGACCATAAGAACAAAATCCAAAGGCAAGGATAGGTGATATCTCTGTCAGACCACCCAAAATCACAGGCAAATGTCAGCCATGTGGGCCTTCATCTGGCTGGGCACCATCTTTCTGTTGATGGTAAAGATAAAACACAAGAGTTTCCAGAATCATGGCTAGATGTCTATCCCTGTTTCAAAATGAGGGTTGCAAAGTCAAGCCCTGGATGTTGGTTTTAGACTCCTTCTGTCTGGTGAATTCAGTCCATATTACCAGAGGTGAAATTTAAAACCAACACTCCTGGATCAACTTTACAGCTCTCATTTTAAACTGGCATAGAAATCTAGCTATGATTTTGGGAACTCTTGTGTTTTGTTCTGCACTATCCAAAGATAAGTGCTGCCCAGCCTAATCAAGGCTCATACAGGCCAAAAGCTAGCATTCACTGACGATATTTTAGCAATCTAATTCAGGTTCACCTACCTTTACCTTTGAATTATATGCAAAGACTGCACAGCTCCCCCCCCCCTTTTTCGTGATAACAACACAGACAAAACTGGGAATGCAGTATCGTAGAAAAAAACAGTTATATCAGAAAAGCCTGTTTTCAGGACAATTTCTATGGCATAATGTCCTTTAATTGCAAATGTAGATGTTTGTACATAGTGCAAAAGAGGGCTCAGCTGAGTTGTGGTTCATGAGAACAGCTTGCATTGCGACATAGAAAAAGATAAATCAAGGATGCCATTTTATTCTGGGTCAGTTTTAAAATCCTGCCTACCTGCAAAGCACACCTTAGTCCCTCTTGATGTGTGCATGTGTGGCCGCAGCCTAGCTAGCAAACAAACGTTGTGGTTATATGGCTATGTCATTGCTCTCTGGTGAATGATCCCGACTCTCTCCTTCTGGCAAAGATCATTATATGGCATTATACAGTGCCCCTCAACAATCCAGGCCTCATAGAACTTGTTCACATGACAGTGCTCCAGTCCTCCCAGCAATTGTTTGCTTTCTTCCTGTCTTTCTTTCTTAAGCTGTGCATGCAATACACTTAATAGGATCCTTAGTTTGCCCTTAGAACTATGTAATTTCCTTTGGGTTAGTCACCTCCACCAGGGCAATTTAACGGTGGCATTGCACTTTGAGTTTTGAACTGGGCTGGGCAGCTTTCGAAAGAGCTCATTGACCTTATTTCAATCTGATTTCAAAATTTGTAGATTAATAGTATAGAAAATAAGGAAACCCCAAAATCTGGTGTTTAGGCCTAGCCTGTCAGTTTCTGATTTTCCCAGACAGTCTCTTTACAGATCAGGACAAAATTCAACTGAATTTCCATCTAGAATGCAGATAATATCAAAGAAGCAGAACAGCTCATGTCTTACCACCTTGTCTGGAATGCCACCATCTGAATTGAATTTGCTTCCCACTCTCAATGTAATGAGTAAATTTTGGAATCATTTGTCATTAAATATTTTGAGTTCAATATATTTAACTCAATATAGGACGTTAAATTTGACACATCATGTCTGTAATTACTATTTGAAATAATATTTTCACATTTTCATTTTGCTCTATTTTTAGTTATAATGCCAGTTCAACACTTGGATCACATTCTCAATGTCCAAACCCCTCATCTGTTCTTCTCTACCCTCACTAACTCAGACCCAGAATAAATGGAGTGCAAGAGTACGTTAAATCATATTCTGGTACAGGTGGGTTATCAAACACATTGTTGTTGTTTAGTTGTCAAGTTGTGTCCAACTCTTTGTGACCCCATGGACCAGAGCACACCAGGCCCTCCTGTCTTCCACTGCCTCCCCAAGTTTGGTCAAATCAAACATATTAGCCATGCATTTACCATATTTTGGGTGAGAAATGCTAGATATTTTAGTTGGATTCAGTGAACGAAAAAGTCTTAGAGATCATATTCTAAATATACACTGACTACTGGAATATATCAAATAATTTTTTGGGGGGAATCAATTTGTGTCTTACAATAAAGCCTTTGACTGTACTGTACAGATGATGAAAATTTATGGATTGTTCTAAAAGAATTACCATAACATGTGATCATCTTGTTGGCTAATCTACATGCTCTAGACAAAAGGTTACTGCTAGGCAGAATATGGAAGGGGGGAAAAAGAATGTTTTCCAGATGGCAATGGAGTCTATGAGGTCCAGGAGCTGGTGCACTCCAAACCATGAAACATGAGAATTATTACACAGAAAATCATATGCCAGTAGAGGATTTGGCCACAGATGGCATCAGTGTATTTCAAGATCCTGCGTAATCTCCAGCCTGACCAAAAAGTTCTTCACATATTCCCTTCCAAGTCTGGGAAGCAGACTTACCAACATTCTCCACTGACAGTTTCTGCGAAAGGGTGGTGTGATTGGTGATGGTGTCTAGCACTTCAATGAAGAGTTCACTGAAGACCTGAATGCTGTGATGGTCATTGGGGAAGATGCAGACATGGCGCCACCTTCCATCAGTGCTTTTGCCTGTGGTCAGGTTACATTCTCGTTTTACATCTCTGTGGGAAAGAACAGTGCTGTAGTATTTCTCCACTTCAACATCTCCTTACCCTGATTGGGCTTACGTACCTATGAGGCAACTGTCTTTGGGGCAAGGAAGCAAGCTGCCAGCTAATTAATTTGTTGTTAATGTATTTTAATTGCCAAGGATTGTGAGATGTATTTATGGATTTTCTGCCCCATATATCAAAATAACATGTCTGGTTTTGGATACAGTATACCTTGATTTGAGTGTATGTATGTCTGGAAAGGGTTGTCATTTGCTGTTCTGCTTCAGACCATGAAATTTTTTAGGCTGGTCCTAGCTTGAAGGAGATCAAGTTTCAAATCCCATCCCAACTGTTGTTGTTGTTTAGTCGTTAAGTTGTGTCCGACTCTTCGTGACCCCATGGACCAGAGCACGCCAGGCTCTCCTGTCTTCCACTGCCTCCCAGAGTTGGGTCAAATTCATGTTGGTAGCTTCGATGACACTGTCCAACCATCTCGTCCTCTGTCGTCCCCTTATCCTCTTGCCTTCACACTTTCCCAACATCAGGGTCTTTTCGAGGGAGTCTTCTCTTCTCATGAGATGGCCAAAGTATTAGAGCCTCAGCTTCCAGTGAGCATCCCAACTACGTATCTGCAAGCAACTTTCTACTCCCAGACTCCCTAATCATCTCTTCAGAAGGAGCATCAAGCTGATAGATGCTTTTCCAGGACTTCCATCCCAGGCAATGGGTCCAGGCCAGAAGTATAAGGGAACACACTTCAAGCATGCAAAATCTATTTGTGTGTGTGTGATGTTCAAGAAATGGATTATCATTGCCATTCCCCCGTAAGTTTCCATGGTGCAGTGGAGATTTGAAACCAGGTCTCCTGAGTCCTTGTCCAATACTCTACCCACTCCACTCCACTGGATCTTGTGGCTTATTTGTTACCACCCACTTTTCTTTTCATTTCAACAGTATAATTAAGGTAGGGGTGAATCATTCTGTTATTGCTGTCAAACCATGAAGTGTCAGAAATGCATGCCAGACTATGACAAATCACCCAGAGATCTAGGATTAGAACCCAATCTATCTTCTGGGCATAATAATATAAAGAAGGACTTCCTACCCTTCATATGTGTAGAAGAAGTGATATGACCCTTTTACATGTATTGGTTCATCCCAGAAGCAGGTGAGATCCTCAAAGGTTCGAGAAAAGCAGAAGAGATTCTCCTGCTCAGTTTTGGCCAGAACAGCAGCCTCTGCGTAGAGAGAGTTTAAAAAAGAAAGATTGGCAAGGAATGAGTTCCCAACAGGGTATTGGTCCAGTACAAGGAGGAAGACACCTATAGAAGCCAACATAGTAACCGTTCATTCAAAAGCAATTTTTTCAGCAAGCAAGCTCAGAAGGAAATGAAAAGATTTAAAATTCTTTGTCTGCCAGGATAAAGACACAGGAGGAGAAGGGGTCCTTCCATCCTTCATAGGGAATTCCAATAGCCTGGGAGCAGCCATTCAGAAAGAACTCTCTCCTGTCTTTCTGTTCAGATATAGCTGTGGGGGTGGCAGGACAGAGAGAAGGTTCTCCCTGAAACCTCTTGAAGCCCACACAAGCTTTTACAGGAGAAAACATGCCCTCAGGTATCCTGGGCACAAGGAGTTCTAAGGTTTCTGGGTCATAGCATTATATGACAGGGGCCAGGATCTTCTTGGAGGAAGGGAAGGTAAAAGCTGTCCATTTCACATTCCTTCTTATGCAGATGCAACTATGGGTGTGAGAAGAAGGCCAAATTATCCTGTGTGTGGGAATGCCCCTCCCCAAAGTTGCTAAACTGTTGGCTGATTCTACTACTGTAGCAACTTTTGGGAGGGGCATTCCCCCACAATCCTGCCCTGAGTCAGTCCAAACAAAGTCACTGTGACATGTGGTATGTCATTTGAGGCAATTTCCCATTCACATTCAAAGATCAACCACACCACAATGCAAGTGATGCTGTTTAGTAAGGTCAAGCTTTTTTCCCCTACAGCTTTCAATTTCTTAAAATCATTAAGTAGCTTAAGCAAGGCATGGAGTAGGAAGATGCTTAATTGTTGCTTTGAAAGCATAGTTGATACATTGTTTTGCTGAATAACAATAAAAATGAAGTGGAAAACTTCCCTTTCCCTTCAAAGGCAAGTGGCAAGAGACCCCAAAAAGTGTGGGTAGGCATTGACTGGGAGGGCTGGTTCATGGCGGCACATATGTCATGTGGTCACCAGGATAAGGAGCAAACCAGCCTGGGCCTGAGTTGTAAGACAAATGCCTATCTGATCACACCCTATGTGTAGTAGGGTGATAGGAGTTTTAAGAAACTCCAGAGCACACATCTCCCTAAGTCCACCACCTCATTCAGAATAATTAAAGCCAGTCTTTAGGGTAGAGTTGAACAAGTCCTGGAAATCCTTCACAGGCCACATCGCATACAAGCAAGCAACTTTTCCCCTTTCCTCCCCAAAATTGGAACTATCCAGGACTTTACTTCTGGATTTAAAAAACGTACAGGTAAGGCGCTGTTCCCTGTTTTAGAGAATCACTACTGTTGGCACCTTCTGGGAGTGTGGATTTTTCTATCAAAGGAAATATGGAGGCATCACTGTCTTTAGAGTCTGGCTTCTCACAGGGTTGCCCGAAATGAAATGATCAAAGCTGAGATATCAGACCAAAACACATTGATCCACTCTACAGGTAGTAATGGTTCATCAGCAGAAGAAAACTGATAGTTGCAGTAGCAACGGAGGAAAAAAAATCCTGAGGACTAGCTACCTGGCAGCAGTATTGGGAGATGACACTGGTAGAGAAATGTTGTGTACACAGTTGCAGTGACAGGAAGTGCAATGTTGGAAGAACCACAATCAATAAGCAATTTAAGCTATTTGTGATGTATTTATTATGTGGGTTTCTGCTGTGGTTGAAAAGGAAATGGTGCCTCTCACCTAACTCAGTCGTTTAGGTATCTAGCTGTGGACCCAAAGTTTGGAAGTTCAACTCCCCAACGTGACTCCTTGACAAGGGCTGAACTCCATGATCCATGGGGATCCTTTCAGCTCTTCAGGTCTAAGATTAAAATGTAATCCTAAATTAATTTGTTTATTCTAATGTATGCAGGCAGATACATAGGCTTGAAGGCAAAAACAAATGAGATTAATTGGCTGCCCATGTGCATAAACAGCTTTTTAAATAAAAATAAAAAGGGGGAGCTGATGGGAGGGGTAAACATTCATGTTTTAAAACATTGTACCAGCCCTGTCATGCCCACAACAACAGTGTGCACACCTACCCACACCAGATCAAAACCAAAAAGCACTACAACTTAGGTGTGGGTTACTACCAGAACTGTGCCTGTTTGCAGCTAATCTGCAGCAATTACACTCTTCTCAGTTTATACTAAAAGTGAAAATTGATAGAAATGGAGTCAGAGTTCTAAATGCAACTTTTCAGTGGCCAATACCTAGTGACAAAAAGAACATAATAATCATTTCAAATAAATAAGATGCCAACAACAACAACAAAAAATGAATATCAAGAGATGTATTTCATAAGAATCAAGAAAACAAAGGGAAAATTAAATGAGGCACAGAGATGGTATACGGTCAGAATGGTAATATTTTATCTGAACTGTATAAAGCAAAGAGAATATGGAAACAATATGTTAAAGATGTATATGGAAGATATATAAAGATAACAGATTCCCCCAAAGAGGATTCTCCTCAGGAAGAACCTTTAATTTTAGAAATTAACGTGGAACCTGCATTTAAAGTACCGTATTTTTTGCTCCATAAGACGCACCTCTCCATAAGACACACCAAATTTTTAGGAGAAGAAAATAGGAAAAAATAATCTGTTTTCTTCGCTCCATAAGACGCACAGACTTTCCATCCCCCTGTTTTGTGGAGGAAAAGTGCGTCTTATAGTGCGAAAAATACGGATTCAAACGAATAATGCACCCAGAGCAGATGGGATGGCAGCAGAGTTGTTTCCAGCTGTAGAAACTAAGTCTATGAAAATCCTGAAAATAACCTGCCTGGACATATGGAAATCAGCAGAAAGGCTTGGAGACAGGGAACATTTAATATAAACTGTGCTCTCAAAAAAAGGAGACGTCAAAGATTGCAGCAACTGTTGGGCCATTGCATTGATTTCCCATGAAAGGAAAGTGATGCTGAAGGTTTTGCAATGAAGACTTTCACTGTGTAAGGAGTGAGAAATGCTAAATGTTCAAGCTGGGATTCAGAGAAGGAAGACATGCTGGATATCATACGAATGGGTGCTGATAAGTATTGAGCCTTTCCCAGAAAAATTTGAGTTAGGAAGCTGTAACTGCCACACGATTCTACATATTCCCCCAGGAAGTAAATGCACTTGCAACATCTGTCCTGCAGCTTCCTAAGTCCCTGCAAACAAAATTCTTCCGACTGCTGGTGTAACCACTCATTTGCAGCATTAGTTGCCTCCAGAACACTCCCAAATCCTTGTCCCTTTAGGTGTTTTTTGAATTTGGGGAACAGATAATAGTCAAAAGGAGCCAGGTCAGGAGAATAGGGTCGATGGGGCATCACTTGAAAGCCTAAGGAGGTCAGTTTTGCCATTGTTTCACCTGCAGTATGTGACGAGGCGTTGTTATGCAACAGGATGACACATTTGGAGAGCTTTCCTTGACATTTTTCCTTGATGTTTTACCTCAACTTCGTCAATAAAGCACAGTAGTATTTTGCATTGATGGATGAACCCTGTGGGAGGTAGTCCACCAGAAGAACACCCTTCATAGCCCAAAAAACTGCTGCCATTTGCTTCTGCACCAACCTTTGCACTCGGAACATCTTTGGCCTGGGGGAACCACTGTGCCTCCATTCCTTAGACTGTTCCTTTGTCTCAGGATCATAACAGTAGATCCATGTCTCATCCCCAGGAAATCTGACTCATTTCTTGCAAAATGTTCCAAAACAGCCATATTGTCCAATGGTGCGTGCTAAAGAATTTCAGGAGAAAATCAATTTGTATCTTATAAATGACACTAATCCCTTGTCTGCATGAAGAAGCTTTGGACTGTTATAGCTCAGCAAAACATTTGATTATCCTGATTATCCTGTTCTCTGGGCAAGTGCTCTAGCTAGCCAATGGAGGGACTGGTGAACCCCTTCTGAGTATTTTATACCTAGAAAACTGAGAGAATTGGCATAAGCTGGAGTCATCTTGACAATATGTAGCAGTATTTATTGTAATAATAATAACATTATTATTAATGTTGAGAATGGAGAATTTGATGTTAAAGATTTACTGTGCCCTGATTCAGGTATTAACCAAAATGGAGACAGCTATCAAGATTGAGGTTGAGATTTGAAAGGGCAGCCAGGAAGGAACAGAAAAGATCCTATAGTGTAGGGGTGTGTCACTGAAACCAAATTTAAGTTCATTCTAGACTATGATATTCATAGCATGGATGTGCATGTTGGAAAAGAAAGACAGCTGAGAGAGGAAATAGAGTGTGGGTTTGAAAGAAAGTTTTATGGATATAACAGATTGTGAAAAAGAAATACAGTCATGTTTTTCATATAACACAGGTGGAAATCTGATCCATGATACTGAATGTGTTGCCAGTTATGCTTGTGTCCACCTTGGCAGCTAACATTGTAAAAAATTTCATGCCATGCACCTTCAAATCTTTTCCCCCTTTACGGTGATAAATAAAAATAGTGGCAGCTTGTGGTTCAAGCAAGGGGTGTCTTGTTCTACAATCTCAGGGTGATATCCTTTCCAATTAGACTATAGGCCAACTGTGTAAGGAATATTAACACTAAAAACAACCCCATGTCCCCCAGTGATGTATCTTAACATTCAGAAGAGATTTGGGGACTCTGTTATGATCCCCTTCTGCCATGGAACTAGGTGTAGATCAGCAAGGTAGAATGCATGTGACTTGCAAACCTCGAAACATTGTCAGAACACCTGATCCTATGCAAGTGCAGGACATTGCCTCAGAGGTGAATCATGGTATAAAAGAACTGTAATTGCAAGATACCCCAAAGATTAGATAGCATCCTCAGCAAATGACTATCCAAGCTTCATTTAAAAACCTCCAGTGAAGGAGAGTCTGCCACTGTTCAAGATAGTCCATTCCACTGTCAAACAACTCCCAACATCATAATGTTCTTCCTAATGTTGAGTCTAAATCCCCTTTCTTCCCATTTGAACCCACTGGTTCACATTCTGCCTTCTGGATCAGTA